GTGTGTGTGTGTGTGTGTGTGTGTGTGTGTGTCTGTGCCTACACGAGTATGTGTGTGTGACAGCAAAGACACAGTATTTCTCTTTTTGATGCATCCCTCGTCTCTCAGTTATTGCTGCTTTGCCACCATGAAGCTTTCAACACAACAGCAGCCATATTTGATTAGTGTTGCTTTTGTATGAATTATATGACAACAATCTCACAGGAGGGTGCTGAATTTTTTTCTCTATCAAGATGGAAATGTTTCCCTTCAGACGCTCTGTCGTTTAAGAGCCACTAGGGGGCGCAAACACATTACCAAAAAAAAACCCATAAGTGGACTGTAAATTATTCCACCAAAATAACCCAACTCAAGAGACTGCAGGTGCCCGCTCGCTGCTCTTTCGCTTTATTTGTAATTATACTTCATTTCCCTCCCTGTTACTTGAGGTTATCAGGAGCTTTTATGTGCATTTACTAAGCCATGCTTTTAAAAACACACCCAGGCTATAAATACCATGGAATTGATGATGCGCATTTGTTTAAAGATTGTCAGAAGAATGCGAATACATTACATCATTTCTAAAACTGGAAATCCATTGTCTTTTTATTTATTTATGTAAAAACACACTCTATAGACATGTTGTGTTATGACACTGTGTTGCAGACATTGGCTGCAGCTGACTCACTATAATAAATATATTTATAACTTCTGCTTATGATTGTAAAATATATTAGCCTGTATATAATATGCAAACTGTTTTCTGGATTCCAACAGTAAAATGTGGCCTTTATTTTATATACTTAATATTTGCCTTTTGTCTTTCTTTACTGTGGATATTTCCGTGTGTTTCATTATTCTTTTATTGTGTCGTTATTTATCTCAAATATATTTTCGGGGCTTTAATTGCAAAAATCTTTTGCAAACTAAAGCATCTTCATTTTTAATTTGACTGAACAGTGAAATAAGTGAGGACGGAGGAGGCGGGGAGCTGTGAGGTGGTGGAGGAGGAGGAGGAGGAGGGGGGAGGAGG